CTGTGATCACAACCTCCTGGCTGCTACCAGAAGTACAAACCATCCAGCACAAGCAGGGTGTGCAACCTTTGCCAGGAGCAGAACAGACATTCCAATTCACTTGCCTGATTTCTTAGGAACAAGGTAACTAAAAAATGCAGCTTTATCTCCTTTACAACAATCTTTATAAAGGCTCGGAGGTGGCTGCTTCCAAATATTTCTAGATTTTTTTCTTGTATTTCCCCTGTCCCAGCTGCTCAGACACCTTTGCTGAGTTGCTAGGACCACTAGTTCCTGGAATCCTTATTTTTCTTCATGAGTTACCCCATGGCTCTGTTTGCCTCATATTTACTGTGTTCTAAAATTACCACTCATTATTTGATTCTCTCTGCGTGGGTCTTCAGTCATAATGAGAGGGTGTAAACCTACCAAAAGTAATCAACATTTATTCTTCACGCATTTCAGAATGAACACAAGTACTCTCTAATTCAACAACAAGAATGCTGTTCTAATCACTATTTATCTTGTAAATTACAACTCCATGGAAACATTTTTTTCATACCATCTGGCTTTATGTGTTTTTTTAACGAGCTGATGAGTATTATATACTTTACAAGGAACAATTAGTAAAGCATTTGTTACTTTAGGAAGTGAAATAAAGATTTTTCAAAACTGAATTTATTTAAAACCCATTGCATTGAACATTTTCAATTTTGCCAGAATACCAGTGATGGTCAGTTTTGGTGGAGGCTTCATGGGACTCCTTTTACTCAGTGAATATCTGTTAAGAAAGCTGCACATTTTTCCTAGTGATGCTGGTTGAACTGGAACCCTGTGTAGAAATGAAAGCACACCTTCATTACAAACAGCACCTTGCCTGATACTTTTGTCCTTCTGAATCCAGTACTGTAATTGTAATATTTAAATAGCTGGTGAAGATTCTTGCTACTGAACAATATCACTCAGATACAAGGAGGAAGACACTATTAAAATACGAAGATTTCAGGAACTATCAATCATTTGAACTCCACAGGTGGTGAGAAAATGAGAGGATCTGAAAATACTTGAAATAAAGAAAACCTTTTTGAAATGAGCTAATGTGAATAACACCTTTGCATGTCTGCCTTTGGTGGTCCTAAAATGCCCATCACTCTGTCTCTAAAAATGAGCAAATTATTGTTTTTTTTATATAAAAAAATTAAAAGCAGTACTAAATTTTGAACTCAAAGCCCCTTGAAGTTAAAAGAAAACTTATTGCTGACTTAGTGGCTGTATCTGATTTTATATGAACTAGGTGTTAACAGCCTGCGCTATAACACTGAAAGCAGTATTTTTTCATGTTTTTGAGAAGCCTAAAACGTCATCATTGAATCACCCCAAGAGAGAGGCTTAGAAAGACGGTTACTGGAAAAGATATATTGGCAAATTTTGATTTGGTAAACTGATAATTTAAACAATGTCTAACTATTGGGCATTAAAAGCTGTCAGAACATTGGTTTGTTGTATGTAAAGAAAGAGCCATACCAGTAGGTGCTTTTTACCTAGAAAAATCTGCTGCTAGTGTTGGAAAGTTCATTCCAACAAAATTCCAGCTGGTCTGCACGGTCTAGTAAAGGATTTATTTAGTACCCAGAACAACAGTATGAGTAAAACAGGTGCAGCTGAAACTGAAAGACAGAATATTACATGACCACTGTGTACTAGACATGACTTGGGTGGTCAGTTGACTATTGACGCGAGTTTCTTCCCAGTTACAGTATCACACATTGCTCAGTTCTCTTGTCCCATATCTCTGAGCTCATCCTTCTCTCATCACTCTGTACCTTTCATCATCTGGATTCTCACTGGAAGTGAAAGTCCTGTTCTTGGAGATCACACTGATAATATTGGATAGAACAAATCTCAAGGTAGTTTGTTCCTTCAAGTTGCTTTCTAGCATTAATGTCTACTCTAGCACTTAAGCAGCATGTCTGTAATAGGCATGGTTTAAAAGATGGTTGGCCTTAAGAAATTCCTGTCTCCCTTGCTCCTGGCCACTGATTTACTCAGTTTGTATGGCAGCTCATCACTCCTTCAGTAACCACACAGTGCCTATTTGTGAGGCTGCCCTGTCAATAGGGCCCTGAAATGATACAGGTAAACATGATTTTTTTTTTTCAACTGTTGTTTTTAAGCCAGATCCTTACAGGGATTCAGGAGGCCACAGCTCCACCTGGCACTATTTTTAGCGGCATAATTGGGAGTGGCAATTTTCACCGGTAAGGAATGGAAGACACAGACAGGAACGTAAACAAGCTTGACTGGTGAAACCACAGGATGGTGAAGCTGTAACAGTCAGCAGCCTTCTTCTAACAAATGGCTTTTGCGTTCTTGCTATCAACTTCAAATCATTCACGTGCTAATAATCTAATCACCCTTCAAGAGACACATCTGCCCAGCAGTATCTTGTTGTAATGCTGTGACAGTAGCACTATGATTCGTCCACTATGTCTCAAGTTTCAGAGCCTGGCACATCTGTTCGGCTGAGAATATTAGAACTTCTAGCTTTAACCAGCTGTATGTCATGCTCATGACATTCAAGTTACAATACATTTGTCAATAGTTAATAGCAGACAACCTCCTGCTTCAGGTCTTAAATAAAGTTATTTGCCTGCCCTGCTGTTCCAACGGACATTTGCACTTGGTTTGTTAATCACTTTTTCTGCTGACATCGCTGAGGCAAGCCTGGTCCCATGATGAAGTAAATCATGGCAGCTGCAACTAGCATAACACAAAGTAAGAGTCTACAATTCGTGCCTTTGATATTTTTCCTTTTATTTTGACTTCCTGGTGGGCTAGCAGCAGTTCAAAAAACCTAGCTACTTTTGAAGTCTGCTGCATTTAGTAATGATAGCTTAGACTCATCAGAAACTGTTAGTAGAAATGCTGCCAGACATTGGCTTAAGAATAAACAAGGATGTGTTACAAGGTCAATTTGCTGCAAGCCAAACAAAAGTATTTGTAGACTACAGCTCTTGCTTTTGCATTATTGGTTCTTAACAGACCATTTCAAAGATGTAGGCTCTCTGCTCTCAGGCTCGATGTCACTGGCATTGGGGATGTGGGGAGGAAGAGGAGCCTGTGCCCAGTGAGATGCCAAGTGACAACCCAAACGACAGGAACCACAGGTTGCATCAGCCAGGGACAAACACAGCATCAGGGGTTACAGCCTTCTGAACTCCCGCTAAAGCCACATATGACTCAGAAATATTTTTCAAATACAGCTTGGTACCGTAAAATAAATTGCAGGCAAAAAGGTTGTGACACGGCACATAAGCATCTCCTAGTTGGACAGCCAACAAGCCGAGTGGTCCTCACCAACACACAGGCTCTGTGTCATGTAGAAGGAATCAACACCAGTGAAACCTGGTGCTGAAATGTGTCCTTTGCTATCCTTTTCATTCAAACTTTGGTGTTGTCTACCAGCATTACACTGGTGTAAAAAAAATATTTAATGGACTCAAAATTCAATTTTAGGCATTCTTAATTCGATTCACAACTGAGCTTATTAGTTTAAGTTCATGATAAAGAATCAGAATTGAAATTAGTAATGAAAAACTGTATTTCTTTGAAATTGCACTATTCAATTTGTGCAAACACCTGAGTTTCTAAGTCAGAAAAGTGACTGCCAAATATAAGGAACTGCATAGTACACCTCGTCCTCATAAAAATGAAATCAATCAGTAAAATTAAAAATTCTAATTAACCTACAAGTGATCCCAATTTGATCACTTTTATTTAAAAAAGAAGGAAAAATGGGCAAATCAATAATACACTTAACTACTGCTTTTAAAAAAGTCATTTTCATGAAATTGAAAATAACGCTGAGTGCTTTGAGGCCCTTGAGGAAAGGACCCAAACCAAAAAAATACAAATTAGGAGTTGCTAACAAACACTCAGTCTGTCAACCCTTAAAATGCAATCAGGACAAAACTCAAACTTAGTTAAAATGCCATACTAGTGTAGTGGTAAAGTGAAAATAATTGCAACAGCCCAAACAGTGCATTCTATCGATAACAAAGGAAAAGATAATATTGCTTTGTTAATTAAATCTAGGAATTAAATTAAATGTGACATTGAGAAATTTTTGCCAACGGAAATATGGAATTGAATGTAGGTGCAAGGAAGATTGTAACAATGATATTACCAAAGAGGCATGTAAGAATTGTTAAGAGTGCTTTAAGAAATGTGTTCAATAAATAGCTTTGTATTCCAGGGAAAAAAGTAAATATTATCACACAGGACAAAGATTAAATACTTTCCACTAACAGTGTACTTTAAGAAAAATTTAAACAGCAGTAGTAAAGCTAGGCAATTTGTATCAGTAAGCCAGGATAACTTGCATACAGGTTTTTAAAAAAGCATTTTGGAACCTCTTTTTGGTGTCTAATTATAATTCGCAATAAATCTTGGGAGTTCCAAAGAACAGGAAGGAAGCTAATATAGTGAATATGTTAAAAGAAGGTAAAAGGGATGACCCTGCTTAATTACACGCCTGTCATCTTGACTGTAATCCTCAGCAAAACAGCCAAGTGGCTCATATAGGACTAAATTAATAAATATTTGAGTATAATTACCACTCTGAAAAGACATTTCCAGAAAACAGTTCTTGTAATGCTGTTGTGGTATCTCTTCTTTATGCAAGAGCTTATTTGATAAAAGTAACAGGGAGGTTATATCCTTAAGCTTTGGTTTGGCATTTGACCTGGTACAGCACAACGTTTTAATTAAAAAAAACTAGAAACATAAAAAAATCAGAATGTCACACAGTAAGTAGACTGCGAATAATTAGGAGGCCTCCATACACAGAAGAGGAATGATCTGCAAACACTTGTGTGAGTGATCTGCAAACACTTGTGTGAGTGATTCAGATCCTCCAGGGATCAGTTTTGTCCTTCTGCTATTCTTGCTTATCAGTGGTCTTGAAGAAGCTATAGTGAATTATCACCAAGTCACAATATCAGATGATGCTAGGATTGGGGATGTCGGCAACAATGGAGGAGAAAGTCACTTACAAAGTTAGTCAGACCTCTTGGTAAGCAGGGGGCACCTAACTCCCCCCCCCAGTAGTTCTATATTTATATACACAGTTTATCTATATCTTAGATATGTATTTTATATATGTTTATAGATCTCAATATGGCCAAATGGAAGATCCTAATTGAGGAGGCCATGCTTACATCATGAGCACCTTTATTCTGCAGTAAAATACACTACCTGGAAACACGTATGGGTTTAGCCTTGATAAGTAGTTTTCTGAGTTTTTAGTGCACCAAGTTCAAAAGGGCTAAAGGTTTGAAAAGATACTCCTCAACAGCACAGCCAGAGGACTCCCCACCTGGAGTGCTGTGTCCAGCTCTGGAGCCCTCAGCACAGGACAGACAGGGAGCTGTGCGAGTGGGGGCCAGAGGAGGCCACAGAAATGATCCGAGGGCTGGTTCGGCCTGGAGAAGAGAAGGCTCTGGAGTGACCTTATAGCAGCCTTCCAGTACCTGAAGGGACCTACAAGAAAGCTGGGGAGGGACTCTTGACAAGGGCATGGAGTGATAGGACTAGGCGTAATGGCTTTAAACTGAAAGAGGGTAGATTTAGATCAGATGTTAGGAAGAAATTCTTTACTACGAGGGTGCCCAGGCACTGGCACAGGTTGCCCAGAGAAGCTGTGGATGCCCCCTCCCTGGCAGTGCTCAAGGCCAGGCTGGACGGGACTTTGAGCAACCTGGTCTGGTGGAAGGAGTCCCTGCCCACGGCAGGGGGGTTGGAATGAGGTGATCTGTAGGGTCCCTTCCAGCCCAAACCATCCCGTGGTTCTGTGATGACTCCATCTCCCCATTGTGAAGTCAAACCTGTCAAGACCTGACCTGAACGGACAAGTGTATGTGTATGTATATATATAGGTATGTATATGCATGTGGAGATATATTCCTGGGGGGCCGCACTAGCAATCGGTCTGGTGACTGAAAATGAAATCAAGCAGACTTCAGTTTATAAGTAACGCGCTCTTTGAAGAAAAAACCCCACTAATTTAATAGAGTGCGGCCCCCCAGGAATATAACTCCACATGCATATACATACCTATATATATAAGATCGGA